CTTTCCTGCAGCTTCATGTACATGTGGGGTTGCATTTACTGGTGCTGGTAGGAAGATGCGCATGGGAGTAGGCCTAGGATAAGGTACTAGTCAAGGCATCTCTGTTGGCCAATAATTTGTGCAATCTTTCCAAAGCAAGCTCTTTCCATGTTTTCACCACTGTGGGATTACATCACAGACTTCACCTTGGCCATCCTGAACACCTCTGCAGGATGTTAAGATGGCCACCTTATGTTGGCCATGCAAAACTCTTCCCTTGTACAGATTGCTAGCAATGCAAGTGTACAAGTGCTTTGAGGTTGACAGGGACCTGAACTGTGGAACTCCCTTGCCAGGTTGGCCTTTTGATTGCTGATAAAAAGCTGGAACACTCCTCTGAGCTTTTAGTGATCAATGGTATTGTTTATTCTACAAGTTTCCCTAGTTTTATTGCATTTTTCAGTTTAACTGTTCATTTTGTTTCATTTTGTTTTCTTTCTCTTGTCTTGTCTTTGGAATTGTGGTGTATTATTGTTCCTGACTTAACTGCAGAGGACCTTGTGCATTCACTAAATGGAGGGGCAAATATTTTCAGTAAACAAGTAAATGATTGCATGATTGCCTGGTCATTTAGAACTTCCATTCAGTGGTGGCCTCCCAAGAGACTGAAGGGGCGGTCACTGATATGAAAAGCCTCATGTATTCAATGTGCTTGAGAAAGGGTAGCTGGGCACAACAGCCAATCATATTCTTACTGGTCATGGCCTTCCTGGCTGTGTGTTGCTGTGAAGATGAATTGCTTGTGTGTATGGCACACAACAGGGAGCATTGTTAGGGCTTTTCCTCATGGACTGTTATGTATCCAACCCTCCCTTCCTTGCCCTAGGCTCCAAAACACCAGACAGTCCTCTACAATGGCACTTCACAGCTAACAAGACAATGTAACTCTAAAAGCCCCCAGCAACGGGAACTATAGCTTCTGCTCATGTAAGCATGTGAGTATTGGAAAATTCCTTCCAATCCTTCCCTTTCATTCATGCTGCAGGATCCATCGTAGTGATGGTTCCTACTGGTGGAGAACCAGTCTGTGAGACCTACGCAAGCCCTCTAACTGGGGAGCTCATCTCTCCTGATGCCTTGCCAAGGCTCTCCCTCCTCTCCTGGGTCCCCTGCTGTCTCTTCCAAGGCATGCATACTCTTATGGTTGGCCTGGGCAATGACCTTGATGGAGTTTCAAAGCCTCCTTCCCTGCTTTGATCCTCCTGCCCTCCCGTTGCTTCTCCCGCAGTGTCCTCCCCTTCATAATTCCTGGAAAGTTGACCAAGAGTGAGTCCTTGGCTCCCTCACTACACATGCATTGGAAGTTTAAGATTTTTTCAGGAAATCCTTTAATATTTTAAATGTTCAAGTTATGTAGAAACCATGCAAAGAAACCTCTCCTTTGGCATGGTGCCACAAACTCATGACAATATCCTTCTGAGGGGAGATACTGTCCCTGGAAAAAAAATGTTTTGTTTTTTAAAGGCCAGTGTGTCTCTAGTTTCTTATTTGGGCCTCTCAACATTCTCCCTGAATTAATGACCTTTTCAGTAGGAAAATTTATATGAAACTTTATGAAAATGGAGAATAAGATATGGCTTGAAGAAGTCTGTATCTTCCTAATGGATTAAGCAACAAGTGTCTAGTTTTGCTTCCATTTATTCCTTCCTATTAAAACCTTTCAACATGTGTAATTGTGCTTGACTGGATAGTCATTATGGAATTATCTCTGACAGGGATTCAGCTTTGCCTTCCCCTCAATGAGCTGCTGTGAATGTTCTTCAGCCTCCTCAGAATGTTCTTGTTCACTCAACCTTGCACACCAGATGCTTTTTCAGGTTTTATTAAAGTCACTATTACTAATGTTGCAGGGGCCAACTTTTCATTGCATTGGATATTGGTTGTGTTTTTCTTTTTGCTTGTAAAAGGGTTCTGGAATTCAGAATTGGCAAACTTTTAATGAAAGACAACAGTCTTTTTTAAATATTAAGGAAAGTTGAACTGGTTAGTATTATATCAAGAAGTTTATAACAATGCAAGACTGGGAGTGCATTCTACGTCTTTGTAAAACCTGCAAATTTCTTGATTGATTTCACAAAGCTTGGGCAGAGCTGTGGACTGGATGAAGGCCAAGAGACGAAGAGTCAGGCTGAGGCCCTGAGTAGGCTGACTGAGTGACACACACAAACACAGATAAAATTCTGCATTTTTGTCATTGCCTTCCATCAATTTGTGGTGGTGCTCAGAGCAGTTTAAAAATGCACCACAATATATATATTTTCTAATCCAGAACAGATGTGTGAAACTTCCACTGAAGTTCCTCAGAGAATGTTCTTGAGGGGAGCCTTTTTCTTGCAATCTCACCCACAGGCAGTTGTTAAAAGCTACCACACCAGAAACATAGCTTCTTTCTCTGATCTGTTAATTAAGATAAGAGAGACCTTCCCAGCACCCCACACTCTACAAACCTGAGGCTCGTCTTTAATGTGTAAAAGTGCTGTTGGGCAGATATCAAAGGCAGGCATGGCCAGGCAGCTGCTGAGCATCCACACCTCTGCGGATGCCCCTAAGCCCTCTGGACTTCCTTCTCTTCTCTAACCTGCTACTTCAGCCTGCTTGGACATCCTGTCTTCTACTGTGGCCCAGACAATGGTGGTGGTGGTGGTGGTGGTGAGGAAGAGCAGTGGATGCTGGGGCCCATTAGCTCACTGGTTGTCTGCTGTCAAACAAGCTAGTGGTAGCCGTAGCAGAACTGAGAACCAAGACGAGGACCAGTTGCAGTTGATGAGGAGGTAGGACAACAGATCTCAAAAGCTACAGCCAGCATTTACTCTTTGGGACAGTCCCAAATCTGTTGTGAAACAGCTGTAAAATGCTTCCAGTGAAAAGAATGCTTGTTGATCCAACATAGGTTAGTATTTCTTTTGAATGTCAATTTCCTTGGCACCATTCCTTTAAAATGGTGGTGGTGAAACATGGACAAGCAGGACAAGCTCAGAGTGAACAGATACAACTAGGCCATCTAGATATTGAGATAGTTGACAGAAAAGTAGGATAAATGTGGGCAACATAATTGGGGTCTGCTGAGGAAACAAAATAATGTTGAAAACAGAGCATCTTTCCCAGAACCAGAACATTTGATAAGTCTGTAGTCATGGAATTAAGTAGCTCATGGAAGAATTTTCTAATCTTATGCTGGAAAGAGCAAGGCTTGGGCAATCAGGTGGAACCAGAAGATATATAATAACTGTGCCCAGGCTGCTGTTTTGAGATAGGTCAATTTTTTAAGAGATAAGACTAGGCTTCACATTATGAATGAAAGCCTTGCAAAATGTTCTATCTTCTCAGCTCCGCTCAGCTCTTGTAAACTCAAGAATGTGGCTTCCTCAATGGAGTCAATTTATATTGGTCTTCTATTTCCTTTGAATTTGAACTTTTTCTTCTTTTGCTTTCCCTAGCATGATTGACTTCTGCAGTGAGACTTGCCTTCCTGTGATGTTCCTGGTATGACAGCTTCTGTTTTGTCATTTTATCTTCCAGGGCAAGTTCTGACTTGATGAGATGTAGGGCCCACTTGTTTGTCCTTCTGTTTGTCCAGGGTATTTGCAAAGTCCCCTCCAGCACCATGTTTCGAATGCATCAGTTTTCTTCCCCGTTGACTTTCGTCACTGTCCAGCTTCCACACCCGTACATACAGATCAGGAATATTAAATAAAGTGGATAATCTTGGCCTTGAACTACATTGCATCATCCTTATCCCAGGATCTTTTCTAGTTCCTCCATTGTTGCCCTTCCTAGTCTCCATCTTCTTCAAATACCTTGACTGCAGTCTTCCTTGGAAGTGATTATTGAGCCAAGATATGCAAAATCTTTAACAAATTCAGTTTCTTTCTTGTTGACCTTACAGGTGTATATCTCTTCACCAGTCATGATTTTTGTTTTTTTATTATCCAGCTACAGTTCTGCATTTGTACTTTCTTCTTTCAGTTTCATCAGAACTAATTTCAATTCATTGCTGCTTCCTGCCAATAATATGGTAACACCCATATATCTTAAATTATTGAAGTTCCGTCCAGTTTTCACTCCTTCCTCTGATCCTAATCCAGCTTTTCTCATAATATATTTTGTGTACAGACTGAACAAAGGAGGAGATAAAATACACTGTTGTCTGACATCTTTGCCTACTGAAAACCATTCTGTTTCTCCATGATCTAACAGTCCACAATACAGATTATGCACCAGGGCAATCAAGTGCTGAGACACTCCTATTTCTTTCAGAACTATTCACAGCTTCTCATAGTTGTTGACAAACAATCAAAAATGTTGCTGTAGTCTGTAAATCCAATCTGAAATTCTTTGGTGTACTCCAGTAGCCATCGTATGTTTGAAATATGAACTTGAGTGCCTTTTCCTTTGAAGTGGCAGGCATTTCTCACTCTATATAGGGTAAAATTCTTCATTGCAACACCCTGAACATCACTTTTCTTGCATGGAAAATTAGTGAAATGGTCCTTTAGTTGCTGCACTATTATGCATTATCTTTCTTGGGGATTTGAATGTATATTGAACATTTTCAGTCTGTGGGGCATTGTTCATTTTCCATATTGGTTGACATATTCTTGTTATGCTTTGGACATATTCAGTCTCTGCAGCTTGGAATAGCTTTTTCAGCATCCGATCTACTCCAGGTGCTTTATTTCTTCCATGAGCTTTCACTTGATATTAAAATACTGCAGATTCTTCTCCTTTGAAGGAATCCATCATCATTTTTCTTCTGTGTGGGTCTCCTGTATATTCTTTCCACCTTCTCTTTATTTTATCCAAGTCATGTAGTATACCTTCGTCTTTGACTTTCAGCATTCCTAATTTTGGTCTGAATTTTCCTTTGATTACCTGGATCTTCTGGAAGAAGTCTCTTCCCCCCTTTTGTTGCTCTATCTCTTTGCACTGATCATTATAATTTTTTTGTGTTTATGTGATAGTTGATGAAAAGTTGCATTCAGGATTCTCTCCCTTTTTCTGTCAACTTTAAGGAACCATATAAGGATAAAAAAAGCTTGATTAGTGAGGTGAGCCAAAAATGCATTAACAGGGTAGAATGGAACCCTGCTGTCATTTGGTGCATGCAGGTAAAACTAGCTAGAACTTCTCTTCACATGATCTCTTAATGTTTTTTGATGGTGTTGCAACCTAGCACAGCGTTACTTCATTTCTAGTTTTACCTACCAGAAAGACAGCAGGGGCCCCTGCGGCAGTGTTTATGCATTTTTGGGTCTATCTAGGGAGGCCAGACATGAATTGCCACAAAAGAAGACATGCTGTCACAATAAATAAATAAATAAAATTAATTTGCATATGCTTTGCATATGCCAATCTACATGTGTTGATCCAAACTTAGAAATAATCATTCTAATTTAAACAGTAATATAGTACATCACACCAGGGGACCTGTGTGCCTTCCTGTTCACACTGCTGACTGCTATTTAACTGTGAATGTGCAACAGTTCTTATGTGCCTCACCTTTAAAAAGAAATGGGATGGGATAGTTGTTCAAACAAAGGATGCTACTCTGGTGGACTGTTCTTTGTGAAAGAGGACACCTGGCCGCCATACTACTGTCTCATGATTTAGAGTGTTCCAGTTCCTTCACATATATATCACGTTGTCGTTCGGACAGCAACCTTGTAAGGTTGGTCAGTATTATTATCCCTATGTTCCAATCAGGGGTGGTGGAGTCACACAGAGTGGAGGCATGTCTGAGGACTGAAAGTTAGGCTTCCCAATTCATGGCTGACAAGCTTGGCCATCACTCAGTGATTAACCACCCATTCTTGGTTGCTTAAGTGTTTGCTCCATAGGTACGCCAAGCCATGTACAGCAGGAGCAGGAAACACCCATATAACTCTCTTGCTTTTCTTCCTATTTAGTCTGGTCTCCAATGGGAAATCCAAGATGACTATCCAGTACCCTAGAGATGTTTTACTGTTGCATTCCTTTTTTCCCGCAGCTGCAAAGATGTGGCGAATATGCTGGCCCTGCACTGTCTTTGTTGCAATCATCACTGTTGGTGATCTGAATGTAGAGAGCAAAAGCACCCCATGGCCAAAGTTTACCAAGATAAAAGCTCTTGACAAAGTAGCCACTGACAGCCTTGATACTTCTGATGCACCACCCACTGAAGATAGCCTCTTCACTGAAACATCTGAAAATCGTGATGCCGCAATGAAATTGTCCACTCTGAACTATGCCTTCAGAACAGCTACCACTCTCTTTCCTTTTGAAAACTATACTCTGGACTCATCTGACTTCTTCTTTAACTGCTGCGATTGCTGTCCTGCTGCCCCAGGGGAGAAAGGGGATCCTGGAGAACCAGGATTGCCAGGTACGGCCATCAATTTAGGAGGTTTTCAAAGGAGATTGGACAGAATCATGGAGGAGAAAGCCACCAATGGCTACTAGTTCTGATGGCAACATGCCTATACGGTTTTCCCATGGGCAGCTGATTGTCCATTGTGTGAATACAATGCTGGGCTAGATGAACTCTTAGGCTGATCCAGCATGTCTGTTCTTACATTCTTATGGAAAAGTTATTGTTTATTGATGTTCTAGTCTTGTTGAATGATAATGACAGCATCATATCGTTCATGTTACCCAGAAAAACTCATCAACTGACTAAGTATGCATTTGGGAGGAAAATCTCTAGGCATTCACCATAGATGCACCATTCATGTCATCATGGATCAACTTTTAACTGCCATAATTCTGGACCAAGTCTATAAGCAAGACATAAAAGCAAGAGTCTGCTTCTGTTCATCTTCAGCATCTGGTGGAAGTATATTGCCTCTGAACCAGTTCTCAAATGATGGAAGAAACTGAAAGGGGCAAGGGACTGCTAATGATTTTATGACTGTGAACCTCCTAGAGAGCAATTTGCTGTTGGGTGGGATAGAAATTAAATAAACAAACCCAACCAATTCCCCACCACTCAGTTTTAACCAAAGCATGAAATGCCTGTAACCTTCCCAACCTTCTTTGGGAGCCCTCTTTGAATGACATTAGGAGATGGCTATCCAGAGAAGGGCCTTCACTGCACTGGCATCCCAGCTGTGGAACATGCTCCCCAGATAGGTGCTCCTGGCATTGGCACTTTATTCATTTTTGGAGCCAGGCTAAACCCTTTTTATTTTCCCATTATTTTAAGACTTAATTTTTATTTAAGTTGTGCTTTTATCATTGATATTATGCTGTGCCATTGTTGTTGGACCATCCTGAGACTTTTATGTGTAGGACAGGGTACCATAGTTTTAAATAAACAAATAAAACCAGTAACTAAGATGGCTGGTAAAATAAGGATTCCTTTGTCTGTATCCCTGTCAATTTCAGTACTTGTTTATTTAGATTTAATGCTCTACCCATCTCTTTTGGAGTTCTAAACATTTACTAGATTAAGAACAAAAATAGCATTATCATCAGAACTTAGTAATAATTGGAAAGTGTCTAAGAATGTCAGGTGAGGACCAGCCCAGACAATCTTGTTGCCTGAGGTGGAGGAATGCATGGACCACTTCCCACCCAAATTACACATAAAGAAGCCAAATGGATTATAATGGCAGTTCAGTCCTATTTCAGCACCAGCAGTGGGACAGTATTCTTCAAAGCAGTCTAGCATAGGAGGTCCAGGGCAGGGTAAGTGATATACAGAGCTCGGTCCTCCAGTACCCTTACTGCCATTCCTCAACCAGTGGAATAAGCTGCCCGAGGTGTGTGCTTCACTTTGCCAAATGTCAGGGCCAGTCCAGGATAAATGCAGTGGGAAGGTAAATAAAACAGTGTCTTAATGCAAGCTTATTGCTTCCATTGATTTAGCCACATAGATCCTTGATCCAAACTCAGTACAAAGTCTTGCTACACCTTGAAGGCTAATACACTGAATAAGGAAAAAGGTTCTGTGGGCTAGATACCTTGAACCTTCATGGCATAATGTGTTTGCTTTCCTTTAAGGTGCTACAAGACTTTGAGTTGCTTTTGACATTTGAGGTGCTACAAGACATTTGAGTTGCTTGCTGTGGCTTAATTTTTGTTTTCAGTGAATACATTATCCATAGTTCATTTGATATAGTTATTTTCTACAATCTTGTGATATGTGAATCCTTCCGTGTAACAGATTTGTCAAATGTCTGGGTTTTTAAAATAGGTCTTAAAGGAGAGATGGGAGAAAAAGGCCTTCCAGGTCTACCTGGGATTCCTGGACCACAAGGCCCAAAGGGCATCAGAGGTGAGAAAGGTAAGGAGAACAATAAGGAAATTGATTGTTTACAAACCTGAATGTGGATTTATTTTTCATCACAATGTTTTTAGATCACATAAAGGGAGAACCATAGCCCTTTCACGGATGAACTGGGAATAGTAGAGGTGGGGGGAGATATTTAATATCTCACAAGGCTAGAACCTAGGGTCATTCAATGAAGCTGAATTGTGAGAGATTCATGACAGATGAAAGAAATTGCTTCCTCACACTGTGCAGTGCTGACCTTTGTAATTCACGTCCACAGGATGTAGTAATGGCTACTAACTTATTTTATCTATTTATTTATTTACTTCCCCAATCCCACATGTTCTGGGTGATGTACAAGAAATTAAAACCAACAGTGAATAAAACTGACCAACATAACATATTAAATAGAACTGATATCAGAACTAATCAGGGAAGGCCTTAACTTAGAAAACTTTAAAAGGGGACTAGACAATTTCATGCAGGATAAAGCTATTAATAGACACTAGAGGTGACTGGTAAACAAGCAACAGGTTCTGGGCACAAGATATCCACCATGTTGAAGTTAAGCAGCTGGGGCTGGCCTGAGTTTGTAGAGGAGACCACTTGGGAACTTCATGTAGCTACCTTGAGTTCCACAAGGGGTGAGAAGTAGGATATAAATATATGTAAACACTTAAACAAACAAACAAACAGAAGCATTTGTATGTAGGCTGTCTCAGCACCATCAGAATGGGAACCCTGCAAAATTACTATGATCAAGTTGCATTTCAGGATGTATGCCCTATCTTTCAATAATATTCCCAGTGCAGCAGAGGGCAAGGCCCTTGAATATGAGTAACCCTATACATTGGGGTTCTGTTCCCACTTTCAGATGAACATGTAGTGGTCAGTGGCAGGGCCAGGAAATGAAATGCTGGTCTCACCTTTGTGTTCAATGAACACAGATAAGTCATTTGGGCACAGCTTATACAAAACACTGTTTCTCAAGGTCTCATTTCCACCAAAGCAAGTTGGCATGGAGCTAAGGGAAATGAGTACGGTGTAGCACTTCTGCTCAATTACAGAGGTTTCATGCCTTGCTTTGCTTTACCTACTGTTTCTATTTCTTTGAATCCTATATGCTAATACAATGCTTATTATCCAACAACGGATCCTTATGTAACAAAAATGGAGCCACCAGCACAGAATCGGGAGGTACTGGCAGATTTAAGGGAACCCCACATCTGGCAGAGGAATAACAAAAACCCATAAGCAGGACACCCCAACGGTGGCAATGCAGACTAAGTACGCACAGTGGCTACCGAATAACTATGGATAGGAGTGGAAACAGAAGGTTGGAAGTCTGGAATAACCTGCTTCAGCTGTCTGTGTGTCTGGACCTCTGAAGAGACCTCTCTTCCCAGCAACATTATGTTGCAGGTCCCACTTGCAGAGCTGATCAGAGATGCACAATACAAAGAAAGTCATCTGGTATCTTACCAGAGTTATAGCTAACAGCATGTGCTCTGTGTATTCTACCCCTTCTGTGCCAATGACCCTTCTTTACAGGCTACAGTGAACTAACCAACTGTTGTACTCAAAGAAGGGACACCTAAAATGTTTATTTGCATGAAAATGTGCACTTGTTTTAAGCCCAAGAGAAGGCACAGGGTTTAGAAGGCCATTGCAAATGTAATGATTTCATAAACAACACCCATAACGAAGCATATTCTTGTGAACATGTAATAGGAGATAAAGGAGAACATGGTGACCCTGGAGCAAATGGACTCCCAGGATATCCAGGCAAGCCAGGAGAACAAGGTATGCACACAAAACTTGGGGGAAATTATAGGGAAGGAACTATAGAGGATAACACCTGCATGCTCCATTTGAACTTAAGCTTCTCCATGGCCACAGGTCTCATATCCAAACTGTAGGACACCACTCTGTGGTCAGCACACATTTTAAATGCTTGCAACTATGGAGTAGTGGGTTGGAAAGTATGTGGATGAGAGAGGTCTGGTGATAGGGAAAAAGAGCTGAGAAGCTAAGAGGGAGGTGGAGAAAGCATGGAATGGGAAAAGATTAAATCAAACGGGAAGTTATGAGAGGGGATAGACAAGGAAATGTACTGATTAGCAGTAAGGAATAGCATATACTAGATCAACCTTTCCTAATCTGAGGCCATTCTGGCTGGGAATTAGAGGAATCGCACATCTGAAGTTCCTACACCGGAGCGCTTGTGCTGGAAAAGCAAACAAACATAAGTGTGGCATCACATTCGAATGAACAATTCTCCTTTCCTGGGGACAAATTGTGCCCACTTTACTACCCGCAACCCTGAACACCTTCTGAGCATTTAAATGAAGCACCACGAATAACAGAAACACTGCTGGCATTTTGTTGTGGGGTTTGGTGGTGGGAAGAAAAGACTTGAAATGTCTCTTCTGTGTTTCTCCATTCCATTTCACATTTTTAAAATTGCAGTAGGCTTTGCAACAGTTTGGGCTAGTTCATGCTATTCCTGGGCCACCAAATTCCCTCTCCTCCAGGAAGGGAAGCTCTTGGCTTCACTGCACACATCCTGCAACTTGTGACATTATGGCTTCACATACATGCGTAAGGAATCTATGCAGACAATATTAACTTCTTTTTGTTTCATTTTGGAAAGGACGGATTATGGCAATCAGGCTAGCACATACAGCTCTGAAGTCCTTGCATTGCTTTATGGGAAGGTTGTGATGGATTACACTGTGTTATAGGAGCATTATGCTCCTCTGAGCAGGAATGGAGATGGAAGACCAGGGATGATGCATGAATTGGGTGTTGCATACATTTCCTTGTGACCCTGTCTTTCTTTTTACCATGTTTAGGTGAACTTGGATTTAAAGGAGACAAAGGAAACTACGGCCTGCCTGGAGCCAAGGGGCAAAAGGGTTCCAAGGGGGACACCTGTGAAAATGGCACCAAAGGCGAGAAGGGGGACAAAGGTGAACTGGGATTACCAGGCATTGATGGGGAAAATGGAGAGAAAGGAGAAAAGGGGGATCTTGGTGAAAAGGGCTACTGTGGGGATCCAGGTGATAAAGGGGAGAGGGGAGAAAAGGGAGAGATTGGTCCCAAAGGAGAAAAAGGCATCAAAGGAGACATGGGAGTGGAAGGCCACCATGGGGATGATGGGCCAAAGGGAGAAAAGGGTAACCCTGGTTTTAAAGGAGACAAAGGTGACCCTGGGCCCATTGGAATGATGGGGCCTCCTGGGATGAAAGGCATTCCTGGCTTCAAAGGAATTAGGGGAGCTCCTGGGAAGAAAGGTTCAAGAGGTCCCAAGGGCTCAAAGGGTGAGACATCAAGTGTTCCTCGATCAGCTTTTAGCGTTGGTCTGTCCAAGCCATTCCCACCCCCTAACATGCCGATTAGGTTTGACAAGATTCTCTACAATGATCAGGAACATTATAATCCTTTGACAGGGAAATTTAACTGCAGCATTGCTGGGGCATACGTCTTCTCCTACCATATGACAATACGAGGGCGGCCTGCCCGCATCAGCATCGTCTGTCAGAACAAGAAGATGGTTAGGAGTAGGGAGACCCTTTATGGCCAAGAGATAGACCAAGCCTCCTTCCTTACGATTTTGAAATTAAACGTGGGAGATCAAGTTTGGCTGGAGGTGACTCGAGACTGGAATGGGGTTTATGTTAGTGCGGAAGATGATAGCATATTTTCGGGCTTCCTCCTATATCCAAATGAAGTATTTGACACTTTGCTATAAGAATGGATTTGAATGAAATACCAAGAAATGTTTCCTTTCTTTCTTGTTTATTTTAAACATGCATCAATCATAGTTCACTTATTAGAAATATTAGAAATATATAAGTACATGTATATAAGTATATGTACATTAATGGAGGTGCCTTAGAGCAGGCCACATTGCTCACAGAGAATCTTCATTGGCTTATAAGAGAAAATTTTAGAAATGTATTTTGGAAATGGTTGGGAGATAGCGCCAAAATATTTCCTATTTTAGTGATGTGGTTATTAGCTAATTAAAATCACACCATGTTATTCATTTAGTTTTAGATTCCTGCAGACAGGATCCAGTCTTGCATTCCTGCATTCTTGAGCCTCTTTGGCATTGGTGGTGATATTTTACAGTGTGAATTTGAATGACAGGGCATCATTTTACCCAGAGTCACCTGCACTCAACAGCTAAAAATAGCCTTTGATCAATTCTACCAATCGTATTAATAGATTATTATTTCTGGCCTTTCAATTCAGTATCAAGTGGAAATGCAAAGCAATTAAGGTTGGACGTAGAAATGGTATCATATAACCAATGCATTAAAAGCGTATCCATTCAACAATACTTTTGTACATAAGTGAACTGTATTCCTTTGGAGTGTTCTATAATAAAGTAAGATGACTGGCTGATTGTAAGTGTTTTCTCCATATCTCCTGTTAAACATTAATGTTTTCATTAGTGCTACTAAATATATTTCTCCCTGCTGGATGGGTAAAAGAGTGGAAGAGCTGAGAGAGTTGCAAGCTGGGTGTGGGGGAAAGTGGACAAGAAGAGAACAAATTGAGGGTATGATTGTGTGTATGTGTAGGAGGTATGCCTGGGATAAAGAGGGAGGTTTCTTTTCCTCCACCACAGGGGTAGTCAACTTTTTAGCCTTCCGGATGTTTTGGCCTACAACTCCCATCTTCCCTTACTATTGGTTATGCTGGCTGGGGCTGAAGAGTTGTAGGCCATACACCTGAAGGGCCACACATTATCCACCTGAACTGTTTGGGAGTGTGTGTGTGTGTGTGTGTCCAGATTAGGAGGGGAAAATGTGCATGCCTCTCTTTGTTCCGTGTGTTAGTGAGCAATGGAAAGTATGGATGCATGATGTATTTGACATGTGTTTGTCATTCCTTGCTCACAATTGTTTACAGGTTGTTTAGATGAAATTGTGTCCTTCCAATTTTGCTTGTGTCTTTCAGCAAGTTTTTTTTCAAAAAGATTACAGCAAATACGTCATAAAAGAAAGCACAGTTGCTACTAGTGCATTTGTGATGTTCTACTATACTACATTGCCACCTAGTGTGTTTGTAGTAGAAAAGGCCAGAAAAACTTACATAGCGCTTGGATCCCAGTTCTATGACAGAATCAAATGCAAATACTATACATTAACAGCAGGTGAACAGCCTCGGGCAGAAAAACTCTATGCATATTTGTGGCAAATGTGCATGTTTGGGGATTTGCATGTGCCTATAGGTTGTTTACATGGTTTGGTGGCAAAATACAACTATACCCTCTGCCTCCTCCTGGTATTGTAAATTATCACAACTTCTTCCCCTCTATTCACCTGGTCAGGTCCTCTGGAATAAATGACATGGCCAGCAGGCAAAGCAGGGTTGAGACGACATGCCTGCCATTGAATGACACGAACAAGCCTGCCTTTCTAACATTTACTCTCTCTTCAGGGGCATTGTGTTCAGATGCAATACGGATTGTTTTCAGACAAGGTCTCCTGCCAGCCTGATCTACTGAAACAAGGCTAGAACCCAGGCCATTTGCCCAGCTGGAGGCTTCAACTGCTGCCGTTGTCTTAATAAGCGGCTTGACATAATGTTCCCCAGCAGCGGGTGCTCCTTTAGGATGCGCCATTTGTCACTGTCATTAACCTGTAGCTCAGTAAGCTAAATCTTGGCTCTGTACAGCTTTCTTTCATTGACTCTCTCAGGTACATCAAGGGAAGATTCGGAGGCAGCAAGCGCAGAGCTAAGCTGGCAGGGAAGCAGCTGTTCTCCTCTGTAGACCCGTTTGAGTGGAAAATGAAGGCACTTCAATGAAAGCTTGATGATTTCATGCGAACAAAATCAGGATGTGACAACCCTGAAGTTGGGATTTTCTCTGAAAGAGACATCCTAAGATTTTTTTTCCCCACAGTGAAGGGTTGTTAGAACAAGGTCGAGGCAGATTGTCATGGATTTCAGTTCTGAGCCTAGAAAAAGATGTTCTGAAGGGGCAAAACTTTGTGAAAAATATTATTTCATCCTTTTCTGAAAATGCCAGCTATATGATTCTTGGGACCTTTTTTGTACAGCATTTCCCATAATTCATCAGTCTTTCTACCTGTTCCACGGATATCAGGTCTTCTTCATGTTAGTCATGACATTTTCCCTTCATTGTTTGTGTCCTCCAGATATTTTGGACTTCAACCACTAGCACCCCTGACTAGAGGCCATGTTGGTAGGGGCTGATGGGAGTTAATCAGGTCAGACACAGGAAATGGCATGATTCTGAATGGTCATACTGAGCAAAACACCAAATGTCATGGTGTTTCCTTATCACACATTGTGACTTGAAACTCTCTTACCTAATTATATATCAATAGTTCTGAAGGGATGTAGTGTGGTGAAAATGAATGACGTCAACAATAGCGCCATTTAAATTCCCAGAATTGTGGGTACAGGAAATTAAGGCTCAACCCTTTAGGAATGGGTGGTGAACCTAAAGTAGGTCTCCCAACGACCAGGCCCTGCTGCTTTATATCCTGTCTGACACCTCTGTATTTCTGTTATTTGCAGTCCGCGTTCTGTTCTTCACAGGTGATACTGAGGCTGCAAATCCAGCCCCAGCACCTGATGGGAATAATTAGTCAGGTGAATCTCAAGGACCAGTTCCTGCCCTCCAGGTCCTGTGAAGCTGCTCCTTCAGAAGCGTTTTCTTAGTCTGAGCATCTGGTTTTATAATAAAAAGACCCAAACTCAGCTTTCTTCCCTTGTAACTGCCGCTAACAGAACTTGGCCTCTTCCCTGCTTTGGCTTATTCAGCTTATTGCCGACCGCTTTGATCTGCAGTCGCTGTGCTTGGAGCATGACCATCACAATCTGTGGATCTTCTTCATATTATTTGGTCCCATTGGACTGACAGATGAACTCCCTCTTCTCCCCAGCATGAAGACGGTCTGCTTACAGCCTGAATCCACCAAGCATGGCTGGTGCACAGCTGACTCTGCAGCTCTCCTTGTAAAGCATGTGGTATTCAATAACTTTAAAGTGCCATGTCTGTGAGGAAGTGATGTTTGGCCATTTCCTTTGATCTTTGCAGAACTCCTAGAGAGCTATTCAGTGGTATAAAAATGAAATGACTAGATAATACCAAGTGAGCAAATCAGCTCCTGAAGCTATCTAAATACTGAGAGACCAGTAGACTAACAACCAATATTGTGTCCTTTGGTTTGCCCCAAACTGGTACCATTCAAGTATATTGGACTACATCTCCCAGTCATTGTTAGACACCACAGGCAAGGGCTAAGCTACCTGGGAATGATGGGAGTTATAGTCCACTGGAGGGTGCCAGATTGGGAAAGCCTGATCCACTCCTATGCATCCTGCAGAGCTTCATTGCAGCCTTGATCACCATCCACCTGTCCAGCGTATCTCTGGATTCTGTTTCATGGATAGAATCTCAGAATCTCTCCTGACACTGTTGATATTTGAATTCAGTTAAAAATCTATGTAATCTTCAGTAATCTATGCTCTGGTAATCCCTAAATTAGTCGACTGCAATGCACTGTATGTGGGGCTGCCCTTGAAGATGATACAGAAGCTAGTGCAGAATGTGATAGCCAGATTAATGACTGGGACCTGCAGGTCGGAGCACATAAGACCAGGGCTGGCCCACTTGCATTGACTGCCTGTATGCGTCCAAACACAATTCAAGGTGACGCTCTTAATCTATAAAGCCCTACATGGCTTGGGACTGCAATACCTGTTGGAGTGCCTCTCCCAAACCCAATGTACCTGGAGACTTTGCTTAGTCTCAGACTTTGCTCAGAGACTTTGCTCTGTGGGGCCTCCAGGTGCCGACCCCTCTGATGTCCAAAGGGTGGCAACTAGGGGAGAGCCTTTTCAGTGGTGGCCCCACATCCTTGGAACATCCTCCCTGCTGTGGCTCACTTGGTTCCAGATTTGCCATCTTTCCAATGGTAGGTTAAGACAGCTTTCTTTGCCGAGGCCTCTAAAGATCCCCCTAGTCATTCAGGGGCCTGACACAATTAACCAGGTGCCTTTCTTTCGTTCTTGGCTGCATCTTTTAAATTGTCTTTTAATTCTCTTTTAGACTATTTAAAGGTAATTTAAATTCTTTTTAATGCTTTTATCAATTGTATTTATTATTTTTATACTTTGTGGTAAACTATCCAGAGATCTTTGGCTACATGTGGTATGAAATAATAATCAATGATAATGATGATGATGAGGAGGAGGAGGAGGATACATTAGCTGATAACTGCATTTTTATATTCTCTATAAATGGGTGCCTAAGAGGCAGAAATAACTTCAGAAGCCTATCCTGCAGCAGTCACTTGTGGAGATAAGGCTGTCAAACTGAGCAAGGAGAGCTATAAACATAACCCTTAAGATTAAGATAATATTTTTAGCACTTTGATGGGTAACCCTTCTAATATATGGTGCTTGGTCAAGGTGCCTTAGGCTCTGAAGAATATATTTGAATTATATTCATCTAGGCTTCTTAGCTTTCCTTTTTAGTAGATTAGTTTTAGAATAAATTGTGGCAATTGGTTTCTTTCTCTTTCATTTTCAGTCTTATTTGCATATCCGAGCTGTGAATTACAGAGTGAAGGTGATATAAGCAGTTTTTGTTAATTTAAAATGGCCTCTTCTTTTGTCTCTTGATTGATAGATTCCCTCAGCGGTTTATTACAGGTACTAAATAGGCAAAGCAAATCTGGACCCTCTGATCAACTGCAGTTTGAA